CTCCCTGCCAACATCCATTTTTTGAAGTCCCGGGGTGGGGGGGATTCCACCGCCCCTCCCCCCGCCCCCAGCTACCGTGGCATCCAAGGAAACCAGAGCCTGCTGCACAGGAGCAAGTCCCCGGCCCCTCAAAGCTTGGGTCTTGTGGGATCTCCTCTCAAACTCAGTTGCTGCCCCAGAGCCACTGTCCCACAGGACAGGAAACACAGCCCCTCCCAACCTCTGAATCTTCTCCCTGTTTAACCGACCCTCTCTTGCTCTGCTGCAGTGGGTATGCGGATAGCAGGTGGTAGTGGGCCTGGGTGGGGTGCGCTGTATTCCCCGTAATTGAAGGATAAGGGAACCCCCTGCTACTGTGTCCACAAGTGCATTTGGGTGGGTGGTTACCGCGGCCTCACGACTTAGTCCAAGCCACCTGACGTTGAGAACTAAATCAGACTGAGAAATACCCGGTGGCGACCCCTTGTGGCTGGTCGAGCTGTGGCAGAGGCTGGTAGCTGGGGTTCCTCCCACCTGCTCTTGGAACCGGTCAGCCCGCGAGGGCTCCTTGCTAGCTCAGGCAGCAGGTTCCATGGAGAGGACCTCATTGGAAGGCATGCCCATCCTGAAAAATGCTCCCGAGCCGGAGAGGGAGGAACCAGGGCGGAACGTTGGAATTTGGTTTCCCAGAAAGCCAGCTTGGAAGATTCATTGGAGTGACACACCCGCAGCACAGAGGATTCCTGCCCTGGCTCCAGGCGCCTCTGGGGTCAGGACGCTGGAAAGGGCCTCATGCCAGCCATTCTAGGTCGCTCCTGCTTTTTTCTTTTCTTCTTCTTTTTTAAGAGAGAAATTTTTCCATTAGTTCACTGCCTAAATGCCCACAACAGCCAAGGCCAGATGAGAAGTGGAGGAGCCAGGATTCGAACCGGTGTTTGAAACATCACAAGCAGCTCACCTGTTGCTTCCCACACCCATGCCTTTTGATCCATGGGGAAAGCCATCTGGTACCGTGGGAAGCTCCTTTCCCCCAGGTGGCACTTGAGCCCTCCACCTAGGTGACCCAAATCTGCCAATAAACGGGTGGGACAAGAAGACCTGGAAAATCCCTTGCAGTGTTGACATTCCAGGATCTGCTTGCTTCATGGGCCCAGTGTCCCCACACTCGGTTCTCAGGAAGTGGCTGGGAGCTCCCCGGACAGGCTCCCACAGACAGTAAACCCACCCATGGGAGAATCTTCCAGAAGGTGGACAGCGCAGTAGGAAGGCACAGCTGGGCGGTGCTGGCATGACTAGGGGTGATGGTGGTGGGGCATGCAGTGCTCTGGTCAGCGAGAGCCATTCTGGAGGTAGCCTTGACACCTGGCTCACAGGCACAGGTGGCTCTTGACAGCTTGTGAGAAAGGCAAGCACCTAGCATGTGTGTGGGGGGAGGGAAGGCCACGGTGGCTAGTGGCAGGTGTGATGTCACACATGGTTCTCCAGTCCAAGCCCTTGAACTTGATTTTAAGGACCACCCTGTTGGTGTTTTATTATTTTTTTTACTGGTAGTATGATTCCATGTCATATATATATTAGATATTATATATATAATTTTAATATGTTAGATTAGGGTGCAGAGGGCAAAGAGTCAAGGGTGAGACCATTGTTCTCACATTCCCTTTTTTCCTTTCTGTGTCTGGGGGGAGGAGAGAGATAAGGGGAGAAACTACACCCAGCCTCCCAACCATTCCAGGGTCCCCGATGTGGGGCATGCTCTGAGGGTCCCACTCAAATGGTTTTGATAATTCAGAAGTTCTGAATTACTGCTGAATTAGCACTCCTATCATGTTGAAATCTCTCCAGAATCCACTGGCTGACACAGTCCACCTTAGAGTCTCCGTTTGTCCAGATTTTTACTTGCCAACTCTTGGCTGGGGTTGCAAATCGGTTTATTCTGCCCTCCATCTTCTGTTATGGTACCAGGTGTCCTCTGCAGGTCCCAGTGTACTGCCATGTCCTCCATGTGCACCTGGATACGCTGGCCACTGCTCCGTCTAAGCCACTGAGGAGGTCCAGCTCCGATACATGCATTCCACGGTCAGACCCTGGAACCTGCAATTCTCTCCATGTTTGGAGTTCTGAGTCTGGTGGTTCAGTTGGGGGGATTCCCAAAGACACCTCATCGGATGGGTTTCGAACAGCTCAGTGGCCAATCACGTTTTGTGTCTGTGTCCTGGAGAGAAAGGGAGTCCCAGGGACCGTTCCCTCCCTAGCAGGGCCTGAGTGTATGTGTGAAGGGGGAGCAGAGTGTGTGTATCAGCTTCCTGTGTGGGTGGCCGTTGTCCTCATCAGTGTCATCGCATCCTTCCCAGAGGCCTCTTCTGCTCCCTGGGGACCCGCCCCGGTCCAGGGGAACCAGTTCTTCGGTCCGACGAGAGAGTCGTGGTGAGGCACCCAGTCATCATGGGGAGTGCCGCATCCTCATACCTGTCACTGCGCATCCACGACCCCCACCAGGGCCCCACCTGCTGAGCGGCTAGGGGAGGGGCTTCCTCATTCACTCCATAGACCTGAGCCCTGGTCAGAGTTGTCCTTCCTGTCCTCCATTAACGGTTCAGACGTGACGAAGCAGTGTGGTGTGTGGCGGGGGGGGGGCGGGGTGGAGGGGAGGTGCAGGTGGATTCGTCTCCTCGTGTTCTCAGAGCCCTCTGAGCTGCCCATGAGCCTCCTCCGCACCCCCAGGCAGAGTGGGCCAAGCTACCCCCTTTGGGGCTGGCTGTCTCACCCCAAACGCCCACAGGATCCTGCATCCTAGAGGGGCCTGGCAGAGCCTTCTCCCTAACCCCTTTGCCCACTTCACCGCCCTGCTGCTGTCTGGGTCTTAGGCAGGCAGTCTTCTGAGGGGTACAGCCACTGCTGGCAGGGGCATGGCCATGTGACTGGCTGGCTGGAAAGCCCGGGAGAATTTGCATCTTGGGATGCAAATTGACATCCTCCTGTCTCCCAAGAGTGTCATGAGGTGGGTGGCCACGTAGGGCCCGGGAGGATGGCCTCACTTGCTTGGTAGCTCCTGCCCTCAGCCTGGGCCGGTGGGATGCCCAGGGGCAGTGGTGGGGAGAGGGGCGGTGGTAAGAGCCTGCCTGTCACTCAGAGCCAGGCACAGCCCCCTCCCCTTTCTGAATCTCCACTTTCATTCCAAACCCCAGCCCTGAGCTTGTTCTTACCACTGCCTCATCCAGGCACCACCAGAATTTTTCCATGTGGAGGAAAGAAGAACAAGAAATCCAGCCAGCCAACGAGTAGTCTAAGCTAAAAGGGGCACAGACAGGTCCGTCCATCAAAGATGCTGGCTCATTCACAGTTGCCAGTGGCCTTTTTTTTTTTTTTTTGAGATCGTCACTGTGGAGTTGAAGCGAGAAGCGTGACAAGGTAGCAGCCAGGTTGAAGAGATGGAAAGGCCTCAGCACGTGCTGAGCGCCTGGGATGGGAAGTTGCTGACATCATTTCCTGCAGATCCTCACCCCAAGGGGCTCTTCTTTGGCCCAGCAGTAGCTAGGATGCCTGCATGCTTTAGCACATCCTTTGCTGCATGTTTCACTGCTGCTGTGTGTGTGTGTGTGTGTGTGTGTGTGTGTGCACTTTACCAAACCCAGGGACCACATAGATGAGTAAAGTGTAAGCCCAGTGTCACCTCTGTCAGAACCACATCCTGCCCCTGCATGGCTCCCCCATTCCAGAGGCTCTCACCCATTAGCCTTCTGAGAAGGGCCTGGAGGGGTAGCGGCAGGGAGCAACATTGTGGCACAGAAGGTTAAGCCTCAGCTGACATCCCATAGGACCACCGGTTCAAATTTTGACTGTTCCACTTCCCATCCAGCTCCCTGCTATTGCACCTGGGAAAGCAGCAGAAGATGGCCCAAGTGGTGGGCCCCCTACACCCTTGTGGAAGACCTGGATGGAGGTCTGGTCTCCTGGCTTCCCCTGGCCCCTAGCTGTTGTCCCCATCTGGGGAGCAGAACAGTAGAAGGAAGCTCTCTCTCTCTCGCTCGCTCTCTCTGTCACTTTGCAACAGCCTGTCATGGCTGTTCTGGACCTCCCATCATAGATGACCCACAGTATCCCCTTAACAGCTGGCTTCATCCACTCCCTCTAACCTCCTAATAGTCTTCCATTTTAGTGGTCTTCGTCTCTCTGAATCCTAGGGTAGGATTCTCTCTTACGGTTCTACTATGTGACCAGTTCAATGTTTATCTTCATGCTTATACCCCAAATTATTCTCCATCTGCTGATTTCATGTGCAGCCCTGGTCCCTAATCTGCTGAGTGACTGAGGGCCCCCAACCTCCCACCCTGACTCGTCCTTGCTCCCTGTAGCATGTCCTGAGGACCCCGCATGCTCCCACAAGACCCCCAAGCCCTTGCTTGAACCCTGGACCACACAAGCTTGGTTTTCCCGCCTTGGTCCTCATCTGCTTCATTTTCCGGTGGGAAACCATCAGGCAGCTGGACATCAAGGTGGTGTCTGTCATGGCACCTCCCCTCTCCCACTCCTTGAGAGGCCCCAGAACCAATGCAGGTCACCGCTGCCCATTGGGGGCCCTGCTGGCCAGTGGGACCAGCGCTGTGGTCAATGGGGGTGAGTAGGAGGAAGGAGCTTATTAGGCTGATAAAGATCTGAGGAGCCGCCCAGCCTTGTCCCCCCTCTTCCCCGAGGCCCTGGCTCAGGCGGGGACTGGCTCCCCGCCCTGAAGCTGCCTTCATCCACGCGGCATCCTCCATCCGCCCTCTCAGAGCCAGGCCCACAGAACACTGCCCGCCCTCTCACCCTGTCAGCTCCAGAGCTCCTGGCCCAGACGCCTGCCCAGTGCCACCTGTGACACCCTGCCCCGGGCCCTGCCAGGGCAGCAGCTCTTCCAGACTCCGGGTTGCCAGCAGGCCTGTCTTTCCTGGCTCCCAGCTGCTCCTACTCATCCTCTTCACCCAGGCTGACCCTCTCCTGGCTTCCCCAAGCAGCCTGTGTGGCCCCCATTGTTGCAGCCAGGATTGAGCCCCCTTCTCGTCGCCTGCAAGAACAGCCATGGCCACCTACAAAATCAAGGTGGCCACAGGCACCGACTTCCTGTCGGGGACACTGGACTCCATCTCGATGACCCTCGTGGGGACTCAAGGGGAGAGCCACAAGCATCTGCTGAACCACTTTGGGAGAGACTTTGCTACAGGCGCGGTGAGTGTGTGTGTGTGCACGGGAGGGCAGGGGGGCTGGCCTGGCTGTGGGACCAGGCCAGCGGGGAGTGGGGGACCTCCCACGCTGACCCTGAGCCTCTGCCCCTGACCCATGCCTTTCCCACACCCCCTTCCTCCTTCCTGCCTCTGCTTCTCTGGCTCCTCCTCTCACCCCTGCCATCCCCTCATTGCTGTGACCCTCTGTCCCCTCATCTCTCTCCCCATTCTTACTCACTCTTGCCCCGTGGGTTGCATCACCCCTACCAGTGGCTGGCATTTGCATTGGATTCTCAGTGACTTGTTGTGGCATCAAACCAGCCTGTCCAGTGGGAACCTGCCTGCCCTAGGAAAGGCTGGCACCTTTCATGGGTCTCTAATCCCCTCAGGCCTGACGGGGTGTCAAGCCCAGGCACACTCTCCTCCTCCATGGCCTGAAGGGGCCTCAGTTTCTGAATCTCCACATCTTCCCCCATTGATCAGTGGACACAGGGCCAGGTTCTGCCAGCTCTCATCATTTCACCCTGCCTGGGGTCCCCATGGCTGCCCCAGCATCAAGGAACTGAAGAAGGGGTACTGGTCATCCATTCCAGACCCAGCAGGGGAAAGTAAACTTGGAAGAGGCAGGGGGAGCCCAAGACTCAGGAGCCATGACTATTCTGGCTCCATCGGGCTGCCAGCAAGGGATTGCATGGGGTCCAGGGAGGGCTCGCCAGCCAGGCTGAGCCACGTGTCGCTCCTCCCTCACCTCCTGCAGGTGGACGACTACACGATGCAGTGCCAGCAGGACCTGGGGGAGCTCATCATCGTCCGCCTACACAAGGAGCGCTACTCTTTCTTCCGCAAGAGCCCCTGGTACATTAACTATGTGCAGGTGTGTGCCCCCGACGGCCGTGTCTACCACTTCCCCGCCTATCAATGGATGGATGGCTATGAAACGCTGGCCCTCCGTGAGGCCACAGGTAAGCCCTGCCTGGGCTCCCACCGGGCAGAGGTGGTCCCGTTTGGAGAGGAATGGCAGCATCCCTCGTGGGACACCCCCTCTTTCTCAGATCACTGAGCAGCAGGTGGCAGTACCCAATGCTGCCCTCAGGGCCCTGGAGGAGGGGAGCACATGCTGTGGGGTGGGGTCTGGCAGCTGAATGCATGCCCCCCCCGACCCCATTACAGCATCACACCTTCCTGGGGAACCCTAATTCTCTAATACAGAGGATGACCTGTTTGTGACGTAGAATGGCATGTGCCACACCTCCCAAACCACACATTGCTGGAGCCCCACTAGCAGGTTCTGGGGCTCTGGCAGGCTCACTAATATAGCAGACCTGAATGATACAGCAAGCTCCTGCATTTTCATAGTGCCTTGGTTTTTCTGACCAAGCACATCTCTTTCAGGAAGGCTCTGCTCCACCTGCTGTGAGCCGCTTGTCCCTAGCAGGACTCACTGTTTCTGCAAAGACACCCCCCCACCCAACACACACGCACCAATCCAGGACGGAGCAGCCCCATCCCACAGGAGTCTGCCAGATTGTGAAGAGCTGGTCCTTTCTCCCTTCCCAGGAGTCTCCGACCTGGGGCGGGCATCTGTCCTCTTTGCACCCCAGGCCCCACCACCTCAATTCCCATTAGCTTCCCTTGAGGGGAGGAGAAGGCAGAGCTTAGAGTAGCATCCATCCTCCGCCCCCACCACTTGCCCCTCTTCTGTCTCTCACGTTCCTGGCTGGCTGGGATTCATCCCCAAGCCCAAGATGGGGAGGAAGGGAAAGGCAGCTAGACGATGCCTGGTGGGGCAGGTGGGGATGGCAAGGGAAGGTCCTCCTGGGGACAGGGCACAGCATAGGAATAGGAGACCGGCAGGGTGAGGGTGACCCTGGTGGCTGCGCAGGAATGGGGTTGGGTGGGGTGACTGCCATGCAACACTAGGGCAGGGAGACCTGAGTCACCTTGCTGGGCCCTCGAAGGAGTGAGGCTCCCGCCCTGGGCATGAAGCTGAACTGGGTTACATCACTCCAGGCATCATTCATCCAGACACGTCGTGAGCTGAGCCACATGGAGGAGGGAGGGAGGAGACGAGGGTGGGGCTGCAGGGGTTGGCACCAGCCAGCCTTGCAGACCACCTATCAGGAGGCCGGAGGAAGATAGGCCAGCTGAACAGCTATCATATCTCAGAATTCTCCTAAACCTCTGTGTCCACATCTGTAAAAATGGAGCCAACAGCAGAAACACTTAATAAAGTTGCTGTGATAACTTCTTTCTTTTAAAAAATTTTTTTTAATTATTGGAAAGGCAAAGTAACAGAATCAGAGAGAGAGAGATTCCATTTGCTGATTCATTCCCAAATAACCATAACAGCTAGCGACGGGCCAGGTTGAAGCCAGGAGCCTGAAACTCCATTTTGGTCTCCCGGATGGATCCAGGGGCCCAAGCACTTGGACCACCTTCCAGTGCTTTCCTGGTGCAGCTGGGACTTGAACACATGTCCATACGGGGTGCTGGTGCTGTGGGCTATGGCGTTATTTGTTATGCCACAGTGCTGACTCTGGAATTACAGGCTTCTAAAAGGAGTTCAAAAAGAACAACTAGGGTGGTGGGTGGATGGATTGCATTGAGTTCCAGCCTAGATGTTTCCGCTCAGTAGAAGAGGCCTGATGATGTTGTCCTTGGCTGAAGCCACAGGGGCTGAAATGCTTTGATGTTCAGATTTTAGGGGCTGGCACTGTGACGCAGTGGAGTAAGCTGCCGCAGTCCATATTGGAACACTGGTTCAAGTCCTGCCTGCTCCACTTCTAATCCAGCTCCCTCCTAATGAATCTATGTAAGTGGTGGAAGATGGCCCAAGTGTGTGGGCCCCTGCTACTCATGACGGAGACCCCAAATGGAGTTCTGGGCTTCTGGCTTCAGCTTGGTCCAGCCTGGGCTGCTAGAGGAATCTGGGGAGTGAACTAGCGGATGGAAGATCTCTCTTCTGTCTCCATCTTGTAAGTAAATAATTTTAAGAAAACAAGTTTAGGTTTTATTTAGAAGCTATGCACAGATGTGTGTGCGTGGAGATTTTCATATCTATCTATTCAGGCAGCTTGTCCTTTATCCAAAATATCTGGGACCCAAAGCATTTTGAATTTTGGAATAGTTGCATACACATGATTACCAATCTTTCAAAAGGGACCCAAGTTGAAACAAAACCCACTTCTGTTTCAGACACACCTTATGTTTACATAGCTTGGAGATAACTTCAGATGCTTTTTTTAAGGATTTATTTATTTTTATTGCAAAGTCAGATATATATATAGAGGAGGAGAGACAGAAAGAAATATCTTCTGCCCGCTGACTCACTCCCCAAGTGACCACAATGGCCAGTGCTGCGCCAATCTGAAGCCAGGAACCAGGAGCTCTACCAGGTCTCCCATGTGGGTGCAGGGTCCTAAGGCTTTTGGGCCGTCCTTGACTACTTTCCCAGGCCACAAGCAGGGAGCTGGATGGGAAGCAGGGCTGCCAGGACTAGAACCCACACCCATATGGGATCCTCGTGCATTCAAGGTGAGGACTTTAGCTGCTAGGCCACCGCACCGGGCCCAACTTCACATACTTTTAAACATATTTTTAAGATTGTTTTACAAATAATTTATTTGAAAGGAAGAGTTACAGAAATATTTTTGTGGGAAAAGAGAGAAAGATCTTTCATCTGCTGGTTCATTCCCCAAATGGCCACAACAACCAGAGCTGAGCTGGTCTGAAGCCAGGAGCCAGGAGCGTCTCCCTGTCTCCTACGTAGATGCAGGGGTCCAAGGAATAGAGCCATGCTGTGCTGCTTTCCCCAGGCCATTAAGAGGAAGCTGGATCGCAAGTAGAGCAGCCAGAACTTGAGTCAGCACCCACATTGGTCGCCAATGCTGCAGTTGGTAGCATTACCAGCTATGCCACAGCACCAGGCTCCTATATAATATTTTTAATGTGCCTTCATTTTGATTGTACTCCATCACATGAGGTCAAGCATGGATTTTTCCATTGTTCACTCCCCAGATGGCTACAATAACTAGGGCTGGACTGAGACACATTCCTGGAACTTCTTCTGGGTCTCCCAAGTGAGTGGCAAAGGGCCCAAATCCTTGGACTGTCTTTGCTGCTCTCCTAGCTGCATTGGCAGGGAGCTGGATCAGAAGTGGAACAGCTGGGACTCCAATCGGAGTTCCTGTGGGAAGCCAGCACGGCAGACAGCGGCTTAATCTGACAACTTCCACCTCTAGATTCTGGATTTGGGGGTTGCATGGTGTGACAGATTTACCATCGGGGTGTTCTAATATTTCTCAGCAGAAACTACAAACTGTGACACCGATTGAGTTCAACAAACACTGTAAATTTCACTCTGGTGAATTTAGAACCCATGATCCTACTGTGAGGTCTCCAGCCCACTCCCTGTGCATCTGCAGGTGTGGGGCAGGGGCGGGGAGCGGGGCACCATCTCGAAACCCACCGCCTGGCAGGGCTGCCTTCGTGCAGCTGCAATCCTTGATCCATGTGTAGCACCTGGTCCATGGAAAGTGCCGACAGCTGCTGCTCAGTGCCATTTCAGCGGGGCCTTCTGGCGGGCCTGGAGGGGAGAAAGGCCAGTTCCTGGCCATCTCCTCTGCAGGTGCTGGAGGGAAACATCTTCCCCATCCTCAATTTGGGCCCCCAAGAGCTGATCTGCGGGGGGTGTGGGTGGAGGGGAGGACAAGCTGAACTCCGGTTCCTTGGAGTGGGGCAGGGCAGGCAGGGGTGGGCACAGGTTGGGGGCAGCCCTGGAGCCTCCTCCTTGGTCCTTGACAGGAAAGACAGCAGCGGACGACACGCTCCCCATCCTCCTGGAACACAGACAAGAGGAGCTTAGAGCCAAACAGGACTTCTACCAGTGAGGAGGAGGGTGGCTGGGAGGGGGTGCCTACAGGTCGGGGTGGGAGCGAGGCCACCCGTCAGGACTCCTCACCCCTCATCTCTCCCTCTGCAGTTGGAGGGTCTTTGTTCCCGGCCTGCCCAATTATGTGCACATTCCCAGTTACCGTCCTCCGGTCCGGCGCTTCCGAAACCCCAACCGGCCTGAGTAAGGACCCCAGGTTGTGCTAGGCACCCCACACCTCCCACCTTGTGGCTGGTCCCTCCCTGTTCCTCTTCTCCGACTCACCTCTGTTCCCATGACCCAGGTGCCCTGCACTTCTCCCTGCAGGTGGAACGGCTATATCCCAGGCTTCCCTATCCTCATCAATATCAAGGCCACCAAGTTCCTGGATTTGAACCTTCGCTATTCTTTTGTCAAGACAGCCTCCTTCTTCTTCCGGCTGGGGCCCATGTGAGTGAGGCGAGGGCCGGGGCTCCGGGGTTGGCTTGAAGTCTACCTCCAAGGCAGCCTCGGACGTGGCAATGGCCAGGAAAGGACAGACACATGGACGCAGCAGTGGCCTCAAAGCATGGGGTGGTTCTTCACGTGCCACCTGCCACCTGCCCCAACCTCACCCGGCAACCTCTCTGATGGCTCATCTCCTAGGGCGCTGGCGTTTAAAGTCCGCGGCTTGGTGGACTGCAAACACTCATGGAAGAGATTGAAGGACATTAAGAAAATTTTCCCTGGCCACAAGTCCATTGTCTCCGGTATGGAGCGGGGGGCATCCCTCGCTAGGACGGGGTTCGCTGGGGTCGGGCGCGCCCTCTGGCGGCGGCTTGGGAAACGCCGCCCTGCGCGCACTGCGAGCGAGGCTGGGCGGGCTGGGTGGGTGGGGGACTTGGGTTAGCTCTTTGGACACATTCCCGTGCCTGTTTGGTGCCCATTATCTTCTTGGGGTCTAGAGTACGTGGCCGAGCACTGGGCAGAGGACAGTTTCTTCGGGTACCAATATCTCAACGGCATCAACCCGGGTCTGATCCGCCGCTGCACGCGACTCCCAGACAAGTTCCCGGTCACCGACGCCATGGTGGCCCCGCTGCTGGGCGAGGGCACCTGCCTGCAGGCAGAACTGGAGGTGAGGAGACCCCGGCCCACACACCCCGCCTCTCTACCCTCGCCATGCCCCCGTCCTTGACCCCAAGGCAGGGGGTTCCAGGAGAGGCCTGGGACACCCCACCTGGTACCCTGCTGCTCGCCCATCATGGTTCCTCTGTAGAAGGGAAACATATACCTGGCTGACTACCACATCCTGGAGGGCATTCCCACCGTGGAGCTCAACGGCCAGAAGCAGCACCACTGCGCACCGCTCTGCCTGCTGCACCTGGGCCCAGACGGCAACCTGATGCCCATCGCTATCCAGGTGCCCGCCACGGGGCCTGCTGGGAGGCCTTGCGTATGCTCAGGGGTTCCTGCATGTTGGGTGGAGCCTCTGGAGTGTGTCCCTGTGTGTGTATATATATATACATGTATATATATATATATACATATACACACACACAAATATATATATGTATGTATGTATATATATACACATGCATATGAGAAGTCTTTAAAAAGTTAATGGAAAACGCACTGTATGCGTGGGTTTGCACCGCCATAAGCATCTCCCAACTGTTTTCCGTGAGCTTTTGGAAATAGCCCAGCCCAGCGTGTGGCCCTGTGTGTGAGCCTTTTGGGGTGCCTGCAGGTCCTTACTGGCCGCATCAGGTGCCTTTGGGGCCCTGTGAGAGCACGTGTGGGGAGAGTGCCTGGCGTGTCCTTGTGTATAGGAGGTGGCTCTGGCTTTGTTCACTCACCTGCTGTGCTGTAGACATCAAGACGGGTCTGGCAGGAGGGAGAGCCATGGGGCTTCCTTCTCAGGGGTCTCCAGGAATCTGAGTCAGACACCTCTTTGGGGTAATCAGCCAAGTGAGCTCTTGGCTTCATGGTGGAACCACTCTGTGTGTGTGTGTGTGTGTGTGTGTGTGTGTGTGTGTGTGTGCGCGCAGAGAGAGAGGCTGGGCACTTTGTGCTGTGCATACCTGAATGTGGTGGCCACAATGGGGAGGCAAGGGAGGCTTCTCTGAGGCGGCAGCCTGTGTGCTGGGACCTGAAGGAGGAGTAGAGACAGGAATCGAACGGAGGTGAGGCAGCAGGAGGCACAGCAGGTGCATGTCAGGGGGCCTCAGAGGGATTGAGTCTCCCTCCTGCCACTCTGCCCTACCCAACCCTCCCTCTCTCCCCGACCCCCAGCTCAGCCAGACCCCTGGGCCTGACAGCCCCATCTTCCTGCCCAGCGATTCCGAGTGGGACTGGCTGCTGGCCAAGACGTGGGTGCGCTATGCCGAGTTCTATTGCCACGAGGCCATCGCCCACCTGCTGGAAACCCACCTCATCGCCGAGGCCTTCTTTCTGGCCATGCTCAGGCACCTGCCCATGTGCCATCCCCTCTACAAGGTGTGGATGCCCTTGCTGGCCTCCCACAGCCACATGGGATGCCCAGCCACCAAAGGGGACTTCAGGGGGACACCTGGGGACCCATGAGGGTGAGGATTCCCAAGGGAGGGTCTAAGGGCACCCCCTCAGGGCTCTGTATTCCCCCCCCCCCCGCAGCTGCTCATCCCCCACACGCGCTACACCATCCAGATCAACAGCATTGGGCGTGCGTTGCTGCTCAACGAGGGTGGACTGTCAGCCAGGGTAAAACCCCAGCCCAGGCCCAGCAGGATGTTCTGCCCACCACCAGCCCCCACTCCGTAGTCCAACTACAGTGGGCTGCCTGGGATTGGAGAGTGGGCGCGAGGAAGGGGCTGACCGGGATTGGGTGTGTCCCTGGGGCTGGAGAGGTTCTCGCTGGATTCCTGGAGGACCCAAGGTGGTTGGGGGACCCCAGGCAGGGAGTCCAGCCTGCTCTACCCATACCTCCTCTCCATCAGGGCATGTCTCTGGGCTTGGAAGGTTTTGCGGAGGTGATGGTGCGAGCCCTGTCACGGATCACCTATGACAGCCTCTACCTCCCTAACGATTTTGTGGAGCGCGGGGTCCAGGACCTGCCCAGATACTATTACCGTGATGATAGCCTGGCTGTGTGGGATGCCTTGGAGAGGTGAGGTGGGGACAGCAGCAGGGGACTCTGGGGGGCTCAGGGCATTGGAGGGTGTGTGAAGAGTCTTGGCATGCTGTCATCCAGGGTTGGCCTTGGGGACAGGGTCTAGGGCTCCTGTGTCCCCTCACCCACCTACTGCTGAGGCCTGACAGACCCCTCCCTTCCTTCCACCCCTGTGGGGTCCGGGTTGCCTGTGGACTTGCTCTAAAGATCTCACCTTGCCTAGCTACTGGTTCACTTCACTCACCTGACAGCCCGGGGCAGCTCTGGGGTCAGCCAAGGCCAAGGCCAGGGCATCAACAACGAGGTGGGGGCGGCAGGCCCAGGGAGGGGGTGGGCAGGATGCAGACTGAGGCCCCGTCCCGTGGGCAGGTATGTGACGGAGATCATCACCTATTATTACCCGTGTGACGCGGCCGTGGAGGGTGACTCGGAATTGCAGTGCTGGGTGCAGGAGATATTCAAGGAGTGCCTCCTGGGGCGTGAGAGCTCAGGTACAGGTTTGGGCACTAAGCGAGGGCCAGGGCTCAGGGGCAGCCCCCAGACTGGTGTGGGCTGGACTTGGGAGCTTGAGCTCTGTGGGAAGTGGGGCGGGTGGGGGGACACACTAGACTGTGTGAGCTGACCAGGGACAGTGGAAAATACCTGCGGTCCCACACGTGGGTAACACTCAACTGATGCCTCACAAGTGCCCACTGTGGGATGCTGTGCCAGCCGTGAGGGAGGCCGAGAACAATGCGGCAAGGGGGGACCTGCCCTCAAGCTCGTGGCTGAGCAGAGGCGTCTTTCTTATCTGTGAATGGGCAGCTGCATTGCAGCAGCATGCCCTAACTGCATCCGCTGAAGGAGCCCTGGAGAGGGAAGGTCAGATCTGAGGTCCGCTTGGCTCCCATTCCTGCCACCTGGAACTCAGGATGGGCAGCAGGCAGGGTTCAGAGGCTGTGAGGACTGTGGGGGATCCAGAACATTCCACAGCTAGTTGGGGGCTTGAAATGACAGGACCTGGTGATGGGCCTGAGTTCGGGGTGGGGTGGGGGAGGGAGGAGCCGTGACTCCCCGGGTTTGAGGCTTTTGTTACCTGGATGTGTGTCAACCCTGAGGATTTGGTGCTAGGGGAGGGGTGGGTAGGGGAAGCTGTGCTGAGTCTGGGTGAGAAAACCAGGACCCTTTCCAAAAGAAGGAAGCCCCCAACCTCACCTAGGACCAGAGAGGTGAGGACCACCACCCTCCCCCGCCCCAGGGGAGATGGGAGATGTGAAGGCCCCACTCCAGGAGGTGCCAGAGCAACCCTGAAGGCCATCTGGCTGTGGCCACCCTTGTGGTCTGAACAGTTATGGAGGCCTGGGATTGTAGCAGGGACAGCTGGGAGTGCTGGCCAGACTGGGCAGGCTGGGCTCCATGGAGCCCTCTGCCAGCAGCCAGGGCGAGACTGGCCTCTCCCCCAACCCTCCCCACTTCAGGTTTCCCCAAGTGTTTGAGGACCGTACCCGAGCTGATTCGATATGTCACCATTGTCATCTACACCTGCTCCGCCAAGCACGCAGCTGTCAACACGGGCCAGGTACCTGCGCAACTGGCCTTGCGCTTCCTCTGCGCGGCCCCAGGGCTTTGGGGTACCTAGATCCAAACAGCCTCAAGCGGATACCACTCCGCCTGCAGGGGTCTCAGGTCATGGTGGGTGGGCAAGGGCAGGGTGGCGGCGGGTGGGGGAGCCCAGGGGCGCGCTGAGCCAGAGCCCCGCCTCTGCCCACCTTTAGCTGGAGTTCACCGCCTGGATGCCCAACTTTCCCTCCTCCATGCGGAACCCACCAATGCAGGCCAAGGGCCTGACCACCCCGCAGGTCTTCATGGACACGTTACCGGATGTGAAGACTACGTGCATCACCCTGCTGGTGCTGTGGACCCTGAGCCGGGAGCCCGACGACAAGGTGTGAGGACTAGGGGGTGCGGGAGCAGAGGTCGTGGGGTGCAGGAGCTGGGGCCTGGGGTGGGGGCGGAGGACCAATGCCAGGCGCGAGGGGGAGGAGCAGGGATTAGCAATGAGGGAGGAGGCAGAGAGCTCTTGGGGGACTTTGGGGTGGTGGGGGCGGCCGGCTCCGTCCCAGCCACCTGGCCCTCGCCCGCAGCGGCCCCTGGGCCACTTCCCCGACATTCACTTTGTGGAGGAGGCGCCACGGCGCAGCATGGAGACCCTGCGCCAGCGGCTGGCCTGCATCTCACACGGCATCCGCCAGCGCAACAAGTGCCTGCCCATCCCCTACTACTACCTGGACCCGGTACTCATCGAGAACAGCATTTCCATCTAGAGACTCTCCCTGCTCGCCCTTCCTCACCTGCTGCGCGCCTCCGCCCCGTTTTCCAATAAAACGACTTCAAACTCCGCCGCGCGCTCACTCAGCGATGTTGTGGGCTGCACCACCGCGGGGGCCTAGGGAGGCACCAGGCAGAGCCGGGTCCACGACCTGCTCCCGAAGGCGCCTACAGATTCTGGCTGGGTGGCTTCGGAGGCGCCTCTGGAGGTGAGGTAGGAGTGGGGGCGACAGTAAAAAGAAAAAACAAAGACAAAAAAAGGCAGCCACTGATGCGACCCTGTTCTTTCGACTGTCAGGATTCCAGGCCATATTAAACCCCGCTACCAAGGGACTGAATCCACTCAAGCCCCACCCACTTAGGGGACCCCCATCACTTGAGATCCCTTAACAAGGAAATACAAGCTACCTGTCAACCCAGACAAAAGATTACCAGCCTAACCTAGGGGCTCCAGACACCACCAGCTAAGAATCCACCAGCCACACCCCTAAGTCACACCCACCAGCATCCCAGTCCATCTCCCAGCCCAGCCCGCTAAGTAAACACTCCAGATCATCCACTGCCTTCCCTCCAACTTCCCGCTGCTGGATCCTGAGCGCTCTCCAGGAAGCTGAGCTAACCGTTCCTGCAGCCCCTGCACCTCACTCCCCCACTTTGACAAGAACATGAATGCATGGCTCATGGCATTAAGCTCAGGAGGGCTGTGCCACAGCGTTAATCTGGTGGTAGCAATGTCAGGGTATTCAGGCTCCCAATTCAAACACCCCTAAACTCAGGAAGTCTGAAGCTAGGTACATTCTTCCAGAGTCCCCCACCATCCCTCACCTGGTTCCTGTGCTCAGCTGTCCAGGGCCTAAGGAAGCTCTGGGTGGGAGAGGGCTGGAAAGAGTCAAGCTGGGATGCCAGGGGCTGCTGTCATGGAAGGCAGAAGCCGACGGGGGGTGGCGGGGTGTGACCTCGCATGAGCCTACATGACCCAGGCCCCTCACTCAGAGTCCCTGCTGGTTGCCTGGTCTTGTTGGAGGTGGACAATATGGGTGACAGAGTTGTACGTTCAGGTACGCATGGCAACCAACAACTGCCAGCCAGCACTGTTCCCACTGGGGGAGTGTGTAGCAAGAGGCCAGGGAGACCAGCTGCCCAAAAGGGAAGCAGCTTGAGACCATGGAAGGCAAATGACCACCCAGGATGTGAGCCCCCGCAGCCAGGCGGCAAACCCAGGGCCTGGGGCCAGGCTGGATTGGCAGGTGCACTTCCAGTGGCTGGCCAGGTTCTTTCGTTTTTCCACCTGAATCACAGCTGACATTGAAATAATAGTTGTCTGGCTACAGCCCCTGCCTGGTCTGCTTCCCCTCCCCCCAGCTTTGTGCTGCTTGTGGCAGGACTCGGGTGTTCCTGTGTGGGGAGGAAAGGGGAGCTGAGGTGCTGCAGTGAGTGGGTCATTGTGGGAGACAAGAAATGGGGAGCCCCCTTGGGCCCGGTGCAGTATGCAGTGACTGAACTCCTCACCTTGCATGTGCTGTGATCCCACTTGGGGAGTAAACCGACAGGCATCTTTCTATTTCTTTCTCTCTGTATGTCTAATAAAATAAATAAATCTTTTTTAAAAAAAGAAAGAAAGAAAGAAAGAAAGAAATGGGGAGCCCCGTGAGATGCGTGAGAGGCAGCAGTGTCTCTCATTGGAAGCCCCAGGGTTGGGCAAGGCTACTGTGCAGGTTGCAGTGCCAAGGGCAAGGAGAAGGGGGGAACTGTTGGGGTGGGGAGCGACATGGATAAGCTGATGTTCAGAACGTACGTCCTACAGGCAACAAGCCAAATGCTCTCATCATGTCAGCCACTGGGATTGCAGGAAGCATAGGGCCTGGCTGTCACAGTCAGCCAGGGGCAGCACAGGCAGAGGGAGCAGTGGGGGCTGGGGGATGGAGGAACCCCTGCCAGCCCTTAGGCCGTCCCCTGTCCTTCCGCTGCAGGCGGCCCTTCCCAAGCGAAGTCAGCTGTGCTGAGTCAAGAGGTTGGTGACCTGTAATCCTCTTGTCCCCTCTGCCAATCACAGGGATCCCAGCCCCCCTGCCTGACTCAATAGGTGCCCCTGCTACAAAGAGGTCCATAGGGGCCTTGTCTATTGATGTGGAAGGCGCAGCAGGAATGAGGGAGGAGCCGGAGGCAGAGGTGAGATGAGGCTGCCCTGTCTCCCCAGGCTCCTGGCCCACCCCGTGGAATTCTCCTCCCCGCCTTGAACACGGGGTGGACAGAGTTGAGGTCTCGGCCACATGGTGGCTACGAAGCAGATGACAGACCATCTTGTGTACCAAGTGCAATAGCCTCATACTGGCGGGAGCCAATCCTCAGCTGGGTCCCTGGGCAGAGGACGATGGGGCTGCCTGGACCAGGTGCCAGGGTGAGAGTGAGCTGGTTGGGGAGTGCAAGTGAGGGGCAGGCATCGGTGCGAGAAGTGCAGCTGGCCACACGTCTGCTGGTCCATGGAGCTGAAGCAGCTGTGTGATCGCGGGAAAGTGAATTCACCCCTCCGTGAGTCAGGTTTCTCTTGGGCCAGTGGATGATGATAACCTCTGAGAGTCAGTGACCTGAGGCCATGGTGTCCGCCCGGGGTCAGGGTCCCTTGTCTCAACCCCAGGCCACGTCGTGTGGGACTGAGAGAGGCCGAGTGAGGAGGGAGGGTGTGGAGCCACGTTGGGCTGTTAACACAAGGAAATTCTGCAAGTGCACAGGTCCGTGGGGTCAATTTTGACATCTATGTCATGGTATAGCCTGTTCTCTGACCCTGAGGATGGTTGCCTTTTTGAAAATATGCTGGAGGCCAGCTCCAGCCGAGTTCGGAGCTCGAGAAGGGTGTGTGGCATTGGCGAAAAGACACGGACATTGTCACTTGGTGCCCTCTTGTAACAGCCCAAGAAGAAGCTGTCCTTTTTATTAACTCGGACACAGCACACGCCTCTGCACAACTGTTTAATTGTTCTTTTTTTTTTAAAGACTTATTTATTTTTATTACAAAATCAGATATACAGAGAGGAGGAGAGAGAGAGGAAGATCTTCCGTCCGATAATTCACTTCCCAAGTGGCCGCAACAGCCGTTGCTGCGCCGATCCGAAGCTGGGAACCAGGAACCTCTTCTGGGTCTCCCACACTGGTGCAGGGTCCCAAGGCTTTGGGCCGTCCTCGACTGCTTTCCCAGGCCACAAGCAGGGAGCTGGATGGGAAGCAGGGTTTCCAAGACACGAACTGGTACCCACATGGGATTCCAGTGCATGCAAGGTGAGGACTCTAGCCGCTAGGCTACCGCACCAGGCCCAGACCCATTTCTTGTGTTGCTTTGAGCAGCCTCTTGGTGGATACTATGGAAGTGAGTGACCTTGGCCAGTGGCAGGCATTACGTGCTTGTCCTCATGTTATCCCCAAACACAAGATCAGTTAGACCCTGGTGGCAGGGCGGGTGGGAGGGGATGCCGTGCTGGCACTTGGCACCTGGAAGTCCTGTGGCATTCTGTCCCCGCTGGGTAGGTGAGGATTAAGGCTTCTGGGTTTCACTGGTGTGTCTGGTTTGGTTGAGGGGGCACTGAGTGTAACAGGGCCTGTTGGTCTGTCCCAGGTGAGGCACTTCAGGCCTGACTCTGGATGGAGTCCGCTCTGGCCAGGAGCCACGTGGCCCAACGTACACTGACCCCGCGGGGCAGTGCTCTTTAAGGGGCCTAGATGGAGACGCTGTTCTCGATGAGTGGAGGGTCCAGGTAGGCATAGGGCAGCGCCAGGCCCCGGTTCCGCTCCCTGATATCGCAGGAGATCTGGGCCAGGCGGCTCTGGAAGGCGGCGATGCTGCGCCGTGGGGCCTCCTCCGTGAAGTGCTCATCGGGGTACGTGCCCAAGGGCCTCTGGGGGACAATCACAAGGTTGGTTAAGAGGCTCTGACCCCTCACCCCCTATCCTGAAGCAGCCTTTGACCAAGACTTATTTCCACCCCTCCTGTAAGCACATCTCCCGCTCAGGGTTTCAGAAGAGCTGGCTCGCACATTGTCTCTGCAACCCACAAGCATTCCTGTGTCCTCTCTGACCGTGTGGCCCTCAGCATGGGCTGTCCTCCCCCAGGAAGGGCCTGTAGGGTGAAGGGACTTGTGGCAGTGCTGTATCTGGGTGACAAGGACACGCCCTCCCTTGCCTCAGTCTAGCAGGCCTGGCTCTCAACCCACCCTATCACCCCTCACCCCTGCCCCATCCTTACCCGGTCTCCGGGCTCCTTGCTCAGCAGCCAGAGAGCAATGATGATGTCACACGTGGCATTGACAGGTGGGAGGGTAGCTATGAAGCCCTCTGGCCTGGCCTGGCCTTTGCACGTGGGTGGGGGCAGCTGCATGCTGGCCGGCAGGTTGGGCATCCAAGCACAGGAATCAAACTGAAGACAGAAGGGAGAGTGGTGAATGAGGTGCGGGGAGCCGGCGCCCCACCTCCCGTCACCGCCACGCCTTCCTCACCTGCCCTGCGCTGACAGCCGAGTGCTTGGCTGAGCAGGTGAATATCACCATGGTAACATACTGCACCAGGGCTTCCCGGGTCTCCAGCGAGGAGGGGAAACCTGCTGGAGGACATGGGGGAGGGGCTGGGGCTGCTGCGGTCCCAACAGAGTCGCACTGACAGGCCCGAGGACTCAGGTCCCTGTACCTGAGCTCTCCCGCGATAGGAAGCCTTCGGAGAAGATCTCCCTCACCCATGCCTGGAGCTCACTGTCCTTCCAAACAGACTCATCACTCGGGTAGTAGATGCTGACCATTTCTGAGACGAAGCTGCAAGGTGCGGCTGGGCTCAGTCCTTGCCACCATCCCTGCCCATGCCCAGCCCTCCTCCTCTCCCTCTCCTTCCCAGTCTTCCTGCCCAAGCCCCAGGCTCTCTGGGAGCGGACCGCCTCACCGCTCCACAGCCTCCCAAATCCGCAGGCCATCATCCCTGTAATAGTAGCCGGGGATGTCTTCAACCCCTCGGGACTGGA